CATGTAAGATTATAAAAATAATATTTTAAACAATATTAACTTTTCATTTATTTAATAAAATAAAATAAAAAATCTTATCAGACACCACGCTCAAAAAGTGTAACTTGAATTAATGTCAAAGAAAAAACTATAATATATAATAAATAACCTAACTAACTAATAATTAGGTTACCTGCTGAAAGTTTTGTTATAGACTATATAATACATGTAGGTAAGCCATCATACTATTCTTCCTACTAATATTATAAAGATGAAAGTTCGTATGTATCTTACTCAATCACGCAAAAAGTACCGGACAGATTAGGATAAAATATGGTGCGCCTGTAGCTTATGACTTGGATTGAGACATATGATACTTTTTATCCCAGAAAAATGTATGGTTTCTTTCAAAAAACTAAAGTTAACGCGGACGAAGGCACGGGCAGTCTTACTTGTACAATAATAAAGACATATTATGGTAAAATAAATGTTGCTAAAATTGTCCAGAAAAAAAGATACGGCCTGTCTTTGTTCATAAAGGGTTTTTTAATTTTGGTTTACATTTATCAATTGAGTATTTAAGGACGATTTGATGTATTTGTTACTTTTGCAATAGATTTCACGTCCACATATATAATATACTCATCACCTCGATATAATTTTTTGGATGAACTCAATCTTTTAGACAGTGAGCATTTAAATAAAGTATGAGTTTAAACAGGTATATAGGTACAATATCTCAAAGCTCAAAGGACATGCATAATACGTAACTTATATTTTTGCTTTTGTGAAAGGGCCTTACTTATTTTAAATTAAAATAGATAGTCTGTTAATGTTACGCTTAAACGTATAATATGGTAAATTATACGATATTAATACTCTTTATGGAACAAAGTAATTAATTCATTGTAAATATGAAGAGAGAGCTTGCAAATTACACTACTGTGAGACAGATCTCTTTATAACACAATCAGACTGAAGACAACGTACGAACACAATTTAATTGGTTCCTACATTAATTACGAAAGGAAATATAGAATTTCACAACTGCCACCTTTATTACCAGTCAATAAAATATATGCGTGGAGAGCTGGGGTGAACAACACAACAATACGTTGCGGCATCGCACCGTAGAAATCTACCACGTCGGCGTTGCACAGGGTGTTATTTTGACTTAGATGCGGTCACGTAAAATTAATGTGTCTATTTGATAGGTCTCTTAAAATAAATTTAACAAAAAGGTTTATAGTTTTTTTTAATATAATTAGAAAGTTATTAAGATTTTAATGAAAACAGAGAAAAACTTATTTATTTTTTGATTCCAATAATTGTGGTTACAGGAATTAAGTAAGACCGTAGAATAAAATTACAGTATAATATCAATTTATATTAAAAAATTGGACATTGGATCTTTTATATATTAAAAAATATTAGACTTTCAACAATGTACACAAAATACATTTTTGTGTTATTTTATCACGGTTGCATTTTATTTTTGCGTCGTACAACGCATCGCGGAATTATCAGATGTGCTGCCGGTCGTTGAGATGTCATTTTTTGTGTTACGTCATCGCTTCGTATTGCGATGCGACGTAGTATTTGCGATGCGACGTCGGAACGCATAAAATAAATATGTTTAAAAGAGCAATGCCAAATAAATTATTTTTGATAAGATTTGACTTGAAATACAAATGTAGAAGTAGTTAAAGGTAGGTCTGTACATACATGTATTTATTTCATTTTATTTGAAGTCATGTTAGTGAATTCAAAATGCCACTGACTAAAATATATTTTTTTACATTCGTAATTAGTGAAATTTCTACTTTTTTCATGTCGTAGTTCAAACTGTACTCTTTTAGAACATTAAGTGGAAGGTGTACTCCAAACAATGGGATATTTTGTGACATTATTTTTTTCACGTGCACAATATAACTTATTAGAAAAACGAGTTTGACCTCGCTCTATTAAGATTCCGTAAAATCATTTGTTTGTTTTCAACACAACTTACAAAGTACATCATGAATCGGCGTTTACAGTATACGAATTCTAAATACAGCATAAGGGACATCATAATATATCAAACTTTCACATTCCTAACTAGGTTCGATTTTGAGATAGAACCCGTAACAAAAATGGTCTAAAAACAAAAAAAAAAGAAATTGACGGTTCCCTATTTCTTTGATATTTTAAATAAAAAATAATAATATTTATTATTTTAACCTACTCAACAAGCTTTTGACAATGATGTGTCATATGATGGTCAAATAACTATTTTTCATGGGGTTCATACATGAAAAAAGACATGATTATATAATATAATTGAATCCTAATTAAATATTCTGTTATAAGGCTTTGGGCAAACATTCTATATAAAATGCCTAAATTTCAGTTTTGTAACTCATTCCTTTTAAGATCTAGAGACCCGTGACATACGAATAGACAGACAGGCAAACGACAGAGTGATAGAAATAGGGTTATTTTTTACTCTTTGAGGTCGGAACCCTTAAAAGCAATGAAAATTATTTTTGATCATAAATCAAAAGTGTAAGCTTGTAAACTTTTACCTGTACATACAAATTGAAATATAGCCTTCCTAGGCAGTAAACTAATATTGGACGGAATATAACTGCGTTCACACGATCAACGTAAATTATGATGAACTATCGCGTGTTCGGGCTTTTTAAATGTTAGTAGGCTTCAATGTTTTATTATAATTTTGTAAACAAATCTATGGAGAAAATGTGAGGGAAAAATTTTCTTGAATAAAAATTATTGGAATATTTAATATATTTATTTGAATAAAGGTAATCCTACTAATCTTGTAAATGTGAAAGTTTGTATATTTGTTACTCAATCTCTCAAATGTAATACCATTATCTTCATATTTTTATCATTATGCCATAAAATTGTCGGGTTCCTTAATTGGTCCTATTCTTATAAATTCAATTGAGATGAAGTCTCTGCACCGAAAAGAGAAGGTCTATAGCCATCATTCACTAATACATCAGCTTTAACTTACATTTTAGTATCAGGTGAAAGCAAAGAATTCTTGAAAATACCTAATTTAGCGACCTCCTTCCCTCCATAGGTAAATTTTAGAGCAAATTCTATTTTTAGCTTACCATTCATTCCTGATCTTAACAGATTCTTAAAAGCCTTTTTATCTATTATGTTAATACAAGTACCTGAGTCAATTATAAATATGAAAGTAAGTTTCCGTCCACCATAATATCATATGCGTTATTTATTGCATTAACTGACACGTAATCAACTGAGTGATTGTAAAGAGTCATGAAAGCTGGATCACGAGGGTGAACTCAAACGATAAGCTAGGACGATTACATATAAATATTTTATGTGTAAGCTCAATAACAGTTACAGTCAACACAGCGTAATTATTATTTGGTTAAGATAATTCCGGCTTTATCGTCTCCATATTAGTTATATTAATATTGTAAATAGATCATAATGACAGACGTTATAATAGGTAACTTCCAAATGTATTCCCGAAAAAATATTGTCGAGGTCGGATAATTTGAGCACAAAAAAGGTCTTGCGAACACACATAATAATATTGATGACAATAAAAATAGGTAAAGCCAATTCAGCAAAGTGGTATTTCCTTTCTACAACATGAGTCCTTTAAATGAGGCATGAATAAGTAACTAAAAAAGGTTAACGACCTCTGCTTCTAGGCATAGCTGTTCTGAAGTCGGATTGTTTGAAATCTGGTTCCCTCTACCTGGCAGAATCGTGTTTCTTCAAAATTCATTTGGCATAACACACCAGGCATATTATTCTTTAAATGATTTATTTGTAAATATCTATATAGTTTGGCCGAATATTTGTATGTCCGAATTCACAATGGCAGCATTTTATTAGGCATGATTAGAAAAAAAATGTCTTTATGATATCGCTAAGTATAATCGTTGTTCCTGATTATTTGTGGGTAAGTCTAGTGTGGTAACCTAAACCTGGCGCAAGCTACCCTATAAAGATAAATAAAACAGGGAAAGTTAAATGACTCTATTCCAAAAGACAATTCTGGCTGTTAACTTTCTGCGATATGATGGTTCTACTTTTTAATTATTTTGGATATTGAACTTACGTCTAAAGATGATAATTCAGACTTACAAAATTAAGCGTTTCAATGTCCGCTAAATAAGAGAATTCCAAATGATTTTCTGCGAAAAAAAGTTGGTGCTATCCGTTGATAAGCAAAGTAATAATATGACATTAAAAGTTCTGCGATACAAGCTAGAGATAAACATTTATGGTCGTACCACAGATCATTTGTTTATGTATTATAGTAGGTATAGTCACGTTGTTTGATTGTTTAAAAGTACTAAAATTACGCGCCAAACTTATGGACCTAGGAAGTGAACGGACATTTTGGAATTGTACCTATCAATGGACTTCCTAATTCCATTGCCCACCATTCCTTCTGTTAATAAAGTTTAAAATCTTTATATGTTCCTGTATATAAAAAAGCAGTAAATGTATAATTTAGATGATTGCGGTAATTTTTTTTTTGGATTGTAAATTTGGATTGTTAATTTAATTTCCTTGTGCAAAAATAAGATAATGTTCAAAATTACACACAAAAGATATCATGGACATTGGATGTCGCTACGAAAGGCTACGATCTGGCTACGGTTTATTCGTAGCCACTCATAGCAAGGAGTTTAATATTCAGATATGACATTAAACACGAAAAAGTTTTTAATTTAAATTTCAACATTGTTTTGCAGATTTCGGATCTTATTCCAAAGACAACGTTCAAACAACATTTTGACGAAATTTGTCTCAAGTTAAGGTACTTTACTGTACATCCTTTAGAGTATTTATATCCGTACCTTTATACATACATAATAAACCTTCACGCTATTTATCCCTTCTGGGGTTTGAAGAGTACCAAAGTACATTTAGTGAATTAAAAAAATAAGTACACCTCAACGATGTTAATTTTTTTATTGATCGAATCAAAGCATAAAACTGCTTTGATTGGAAAATGTGCTTACCTACTACATCCAAGTAGGCCGTTTGGCTCTTCATCGGATCTGTGTTGAGTTGACACATGTACCAGCCACGATCCGACTGTCTGACGTCATGTATGTGCAGGAACCAAACTCGGCGGTCGCTGTGGTTAACAGCTATCCTGTGGTTCTTTGTGATCACGTGACTAGCGATCGTCAGGATAGTCTGCGTGTCCACGCGTAGCCACGCCACCTGCAATCAAGTTTGCATGAATAAACTATTGCCATGATAATAGAAGAGCAGTTAAAATACGATTTGATTAATTGAATCTTTCATTCGGATCGTCGGGCCTTCGCTGTTGTTTTGTATTTTTCTTTGGTGTGCAAGAAGGAAATCTGTAGAAATTTGTGATCTCTGAAAGATATTTATATGAGCATTTCAATAACCAAGTACTTGGTTATGTATTTTAGCAAAATATCCAGGCAAACTAAGCTTTAGTAGGCCTATCTTTTACTGGATATTGATTGTTGAAATGGTAAAACTGTACTTTCTGGGCCTAGGAATTTGACACTTCACATATTTTTGTTAAAATGGCCTTTTACTAACGAAGTTTAGTACGGTCAAAATCACACTAACCTAACCTAACCTGTTGTATGTCAGCTCATAGGCCCAAAAAGTACAGCTTAGCTCTTGAAACTGTCCGATAGTATATATAAGGTGTTAGCTTTTTTGTTTCTTCATGATTCTGAGATGTTATCGTTAATTATTTAAGAAAAGACAAAACCACACTCAGTTCACGGAAACTCTGAGTGACTGTTTCTGTTGAATTAATTGTGCGCAATATAATGTTTCTCATAATATATCTGAGTTCAAAGAATATGCGGTTGATTTTACTTCGAATTCTAAGAAAATAACGCTTATAATTTTGATGTTCGTAGCTTAAATGTACTAAGAACAAAAGTTTCATCTTCGTAATTGATATCATATTTTTTTAATAGAGATGAAGAATTGTTTAACAAATAATGACATCTCAAATATATTGAAGCTAATAAATTTATGAAAAGTGAAAGAAGAGCGACCCATCCTAACTGGAAGTTTAAAAGTCAATTAGTGGAAGTTTTTCAAGAGTCTTACTCTTCATACTAACCCTGTAAGAGCCAAGGTCATTGACGACGCAAGTGAATACCGCTTCTCTTCCCAATGACACGGTCAAGTTGTTCAGGCTGTCTTCAAAGCGGGGAATCTCTGTAACAAAGGGAAACTTATTTTTAGAATTTCCATTGGTAAAGACATCTCATTATCACCCGTTGTTCTGGGTTTGGAAGGAGTAAACTGTTTATCTTTTAAGCTCTGTAATAGATTGATTATTATAATCTTATAAATATTTATATAAGTGTTGGATTGCATTAATGTTTTATAGTAAAATACAGAATGTGATTGCTGTTGTCACAGATGTTTGATAAGAAAAAACGCGGATGCTTTTTTTATTTCCATTGCGAGATGACGCTTAATATAATCGATAATGGTTCGTGCTAGGGGTACAGTACCCCTAATAGGTACATAATATGTGTGTGTGTGTATGTATATATATATATTTACATGCATAATATGTGTGTATTCTGTTAAGGAGACAAGTGTGCGTCATAGATTAATCAACGAGAAGCGAAATTGTAGCGTTCGTTAGGCGCTTGATTGCGCAACGGGAGTTTTATCGTTTTCTTGTTAATTAGTGAGCGTCATACTTTTTAATATTTCGGATTAGGTCTTAGTTTTTTAGTTTCTCGCATTAAAATATGCTTTGTAGGCAAAATAATTGCACCAAAAGTGAGAACGTGGAAAAGATATTTCACCTTGTACTTTTTTACTTTCCACAAGAATGCGTTTTATAAATTATTTTAAACATATTGACTCCAATGCATAAATTTCGAGGAGAAAGTTTTGAAAAAATGTAATTAAACTTTTGAATATCATTTTCTATTTTACCTTTCGCCGCGCCGTCTATTTTCGCAACAACTCACGTATTTATTGACTTAGAAGTTTATAATTTACATAATAGACGTGACACGTGACAACTTACATCGACATCATAATAAAGAATATTACTTTATCATCCAATATTTATTTTTAGTACAAAGTAACATTATTTGTGTTAATTATTATGTTATAATTTTTATTTTTTAAGCATGTTACTGCTTATTATTTTAAATGACTTGGATTAACTTTGTTCTGACGATTTAATAGAACTACATTTTACGCTATTGTTTATCAGAAATTTAACGCTACGCAATTACCGTTTAATCCAATGTAAACATTTCCTCAGCAGATAATTAACGTGCAAACTGTTGTCTATTTACTATATATTGTTATTTAACGCTTAATCCAATAAACCTTTCAGCCAAATTGATAAATACAATTATTTATTTAAACTTTATTGCAAAATAACAAAGCAAATGGCGGACATAATGCCATAAGGCATGCTCTACCAGTCGACCAGTAAGAGCGTGAGAAAAAAACTAGTATAACGGGGTCGCAATAAAGACAAATGTAAGATAAGCCAAGGATACAAATACTCTTAACAGAATACACAGATATTATGCATGTTATTATGTTGATTAATCTATGACGCACACATGTCTCCTTGTCGCACTGCAGTTGTAATCATATCCTGTATCCTTTTTTAACCGTCATATTTATAGTTCAAGATTTGTTTTGTAACTATTTGTAAGTATTATTCAATGAGGTAAGTACTCATTGAATAATATATCGAAATGATCTTTGCTAAAAGAAATGACTTTCAGACGATAAAGTTACAGGATTTAGCAAGTTTTAAACGTGTATTCATGTGTAGGTATGTGTATTTCTCTAGACAATTTAAACCACAACTTTCTGGAGTCTTTAACAATGTGTTTCAACATTCTCGTATAATACAATTATGATAATCACTATATTTATCATGAAATCTATTAGAAATCATGATTTTATATATTTATAAATTAAGATTACATTTAAACTGTCTGGCAATAAATACTGCGAACAGAATGTGTCAGGCATTATTAATTTCAAATTGTTTACAATATTTTCTACAACATACGTAATAATCAGTCCCCAGACTGTAAGTAAAGTGAGTAAAATTTTTACGCGCCTGTGCCACTTGATTCGTGAAATTTGGCCCACAGCACAAGTTAGCGAGTATGTATACGTTCGTTGTACACACTAACTAATACTACTCGATAATCCATATTTCGTCCATGAGAAAATAAGTGTGGTCTGGCAGTTTTGGGATCTTATTCTATATGCAATATCATTGACGACCGACCTGAAATTTACGTCCTATATGATATGACACGGCTTTTTTTTTCAGATTTACACGGCCTGCTGCAAATTTTCGTTAGTAACACATGCACTACCATAAAATGAAAACTAACTAGATTAGCGCGTTTCGTTAAATACGTAGTAATTGGAAAATTTTGACAAATGGTTATTTTTTCTCTAGTATTTTAACTATAGTCGAATTTAACTGAGATCAACGAACGCGGACTACGTCTCTCTCTCTCTCAATATCACTTACTAGGCGTTGAGAAATTCGGGTTGTGTTGGCACATAGATACGTTTAGTTGGTATTTGGTCCCGCACAAATTTGCTTTCCTGTAGCAATAACCCAGCAACGAGCCCTGGGGAGCCATGTTGTTTTATGTGCTGAACCGATAATGAACGTTTTTTTTTCTCGTATTTACTTCCAACGGTCAATATACTAAGGTGTAATAAAGACTAACATTTTCAGTAGTCTCCCCTTTCTCCATTTGGTACTGAAATTTTATTGTCGTCTAATGTAAACGGCGCATATGTGAACTGTTTACATATCAGTAACAACTATGTCTTAACTGTGTTCAAATAAAGTCGGAATTCGAGCATCAACTACAGAAATAAGGATTAAGCAAATAACAGTAGATAATCGTATTGAATAGCTTATAAAATGTTAGGTAACTTTTTATTGTCGTACCAAACGATTGTACTCATATGAAGAGTTGAATCACGTGTAGCATAAAAACAGTTAAGTAAAATTTCATAAAAGTTTAACATAACTCGATATAAGGAATGAAAAGATCGATAAAGAAACATTGATACATATGAATGTATAAGGGTCAGAACAAAGAATAAAAGAAAAATATCAAGACTGTATGTCATTAAGATTAAAGCAATGTCTTAATTTTTTAAATGTTTCAATGTGTAAATCATTCAATGTGTGAATAAAACTATAAAACATTAAAGTAATTAAAAATAATTGTAAGTAACAAAACAATTTACAATACACCTAATTGAATCATAATATTATGTTTACCTAAATATCATGTTATCAATTTAGATAATTTCTTAAACAATAGATACGAAGTTTTACAATTTTAAATTATGACTGAAATAAAAAATCAAACGAGTCAATTGTTGAAGGATATCCGCCATCTGTTTTATTGAATCTGCAAAAGATGATCTTTATCGTTTTATGGCTTTAGGAGCGCTCCGAGCCCTTGGGATAATTTATGTTAGAACACACCCTTCTGGGAAACGGCAAAAGAGAGTTTTAGATGGTTTACATTAGTACTTATGCGAGAGACCCACGTATATATTTCAACGATGAATAAAAATAATACTAATTGTTATTTATACAGATTCAAGTATTCTTAAAAAAATAACATATGAATTGATATTGTATGTTTCTTTACCCTATTCCTGAGAAGAAGCATAACATCCTCATTTATCATGAAATTGTTGTAACAATACACAAGGGCGGCATAGAGAAGACAAACATTTGGTATGTTTATTTTTGGTAACATACATAAAATAACTATGAGGGTATTTGTTATTTATGAATCAAACTAAATGTATTCGGGGTGCAACAACAAACTTTGGGAACACCTGCTTTTAAATATATTCAGCGGACCTTTTGTACTTCAGTAGAATAAAATGGGATAACCTAAATCTTTGTATCTTGAAGAGCCTATTGAAATCAGTTTACATAAGTATCTAAGGATAATATAGATTAGCTCGCAGTCAGCTTCGTACTAAGACCTTTAGGTCTTTACCTATGAAATTGCCATTTTTACTGAAATAATTTAAAGCCTTTTTATTCTATATTTTTTTTATTAATCAAGGTTAAAATTAACCTGTGCAATCAATACTTTTTCGCAATAAAAATTATTTGAATTTGAATTTTTGCTAACGTAGTGGTAGAATATTGATGCCCTTTTTGAAAATGTCTGCTAGGCGGGAGACAACAAATTCTTCAAAGCCATTTTGAACTGCCTCTCGGTTATTAAATTTTATCCCCGCTAAGAAATTATCCAAATTCTCGAAAAGTAGAAGTCTATAGGAACAAGGTGAGTGCGGTTGATAACTCAGAACTTACAACCCCAGTTCTTGTAACTTGGAGACCGTCTGCTGTGTAGTATGAGGTCTGCTGTGTAGTATGCAGAAGCAGCGGAATCAAACGATTGACCGAAGTTGGAGATGTGCGAGTATCTTAATCATTGTGTTCAGTTCTTCACAGTACACATCTGCAGTAATGCTCATCCCGTTTGGCAAGAAGCGGTGATGAATGACACTGGCGCTAGACCACCAAACAGCAACCGTCACAAATTTCACGCAAGTTTCTATACAAAATTTTATAATGACATTTCGTACTCGCAATCGTTACGAATTTGATATTGGTTCGTGCTAAAGGCACTGAACGCTAACCATTTCACAAATGGCTAATTTCCGAACAATAATTCCATATATTAAAAATAATAATAATTTAAAATGAGGAAATGAGAAAAGCAGAATTCGTTACTCCTTAGCTTTTCCGTGTGTTACGAGTGGTGCGGCATAGTCGGTTACCTATTCAAATTGGATCGCTTAAGTTATTTCCACTTTACATTAGACCACATATAAATAAAATTAGCCATAGTAGTGCTGTCTCGATTGATGAGTAAGATAACAAGACAACACGGGGTAGGGAATTGGATTCAAGCAGGTAAGGTGAAGATGACTGGTAGTAGCACATTTTTCTGCCGCATCTCATAATCAGGGGCTTTTATAAAATACATATTTCACTAAGCACCTACAATTCATAAGTTTTCTGACCATTATTTGGGGTGGAGGGTTGATAGTCCGGGATACAGGAATTATCCTAGTTCAGGTATCAGCCCACCACAGTCTGCTACATTGTACCATTGCTGCATGGAAGTCTTATTTAGATTGTGGTATGAGAA